ACACAAAGGTTTAGTGGCGTGTCTATAGGGGTCCTCAATTGATATCCAATTAAATCATTTTAAATAATATAGTTTTAAGAGATTAAAAATTTTTATGTACGTTTGTATTTTGTATCTTATCAATATATATTATATTATGTTTATTCATTATTAGTATCGTAATAAAATGTTCTATACATGGTTTCCACAGTTGATAATTTTAAAACAMGATAGTTTCATGCATTATTGATAGTTAAGAAAAAGCAAAATTAATAGCGGTGGCAAAATTATACAAATATATTGACAGTGCTGCCGTAATAGAAACAAACAATGCACCCGACTTCACTTACCGCTATCACCAAAGTAATTTTATCATTATATTAAACATTTTCAATACTGTTATAATTTAAGTTAATAATTCTATAAACATTTAAATTCCAAATATGGTAATTACTTTTGTCACGAATTATTATAATGTGCTGTTGTGTGGGTGGAGTATAGATACAAGATACGACTAGGTCCATATTTTTTTAGTGATATGCGAAACTCAAAATTATTTCTTCATCTATGTAAAATTCTTACTACTCCTCTTTATTAAGTTTATATRTTTATGAGTGACTTATAATAAATATAAATTTACTTACGTTGATAAGTATTTATTTATTTATAATTTTATTTCAACACATATTTTCCGTCTTTTAAATTGAATATATCCAATATATCTTAAATATTTAATAAATTGAATGTCAATTATTGACAATATCTCTTTGAATATTGAAAATATCTAATTTCGAGATAGTTTTATTGCAGCATTTTTGTTCTCAGCCATTTTTTCGAYTCATTAAAAAAACTTTTTTATTTGACTTACCATCTATCCAATATAATATATATTTGAAGAGCTTACCTCCTCCTTATGAGAGTTCTTAAACACGACACTTGTTTAATGTCGTTACATTCATTTTAAAAGTCGGTGTGGTTGAGTTGACACAAAGGAACGGACGCAAATATCATATAATATACTCTTATGTGCTTATGTGTTTGAGCAGAATAACCATGTCAGGTACCGAATTTCAAGTAAATCGCAGTTCAACTGTTCCCGTGATGATGTGTTTAAAAAAWGGTGATATTTTATTTCATTTATATAGATTTACATATTAAAACATCGTGTTATTTCTTAGACAGATTTGTAGAATTTAAGTTAAACCTGGGTGAAATTTACACGTGATGCGCTGCATAACTGCAATCTCCAGAATACATACCTATAATATCTAAGTAATAAATATTAAGTATTATTGTGGATTGCCCTTGTTTCATTTATTGTATCCATAAATATTATTGTAAATTGTAATAGTAGATATATTTACTTAAGTTTATAAAATTCAAGTTCAACCTTGGTATCTGATGAAATAGACACGTAATTCCAATCGTCGATTTATATAGCTGGTATACGAGTAGAATATTATAAAATTTAATTCTATAAAATTTATGATTTATCTGTGTTTAAAAAATTTACTGGGATGTATGTAAAGTAGTTTAATAATTGTAACCTCTGTCTTGGTACAGTACGTTTGAAAAAAGACAAACCAGTAGTAACKGTTGTAAAGTTTATCGTTACCTATAGCYACCAAAAAATTATAATAACTACTGCATATAMAAGTTCAATATACAATAAAAAAAATGTATATATTYTCYTAACTCATSTAAGAACTATTTTTATGATACCTACTGTAGATATTTAAACGTCTTAAGTCCCATGACTGCAGTTTTATTTCCTCTACTTTTAGCTTCAAGTACATAACTCATTATTTTTTCGTTAATTTTTACTTACACATTTTATATAACCTACTTGATATTAAAAAAGCGGGTAAGTGGATGTCGCTCTGCTGTACATTAGGTGKTGGGRTGGACCTCTGAYTATAGGGTAGGTTAGATTTGAATGCAATGATAGGTATCATTGTATACGAAAAACGATTTTGAACGGAGATGATTTGTCAGTCTAGGATATATTATAGATAATTAAAAATA